ACAATCAGCGTAGCAGACAAAATCACCAGTAGTACGATTCAGGACGCCTATGACAGCGAACAACGCAGCTCTCGGACTAAACTGCTCAGCACTGGGGCGGCTACCGAAACAGACAGCACAGCATCCGAACGTCGACAGTCATCTTGGGGCCCACCAGACGACCGATCGACCAAACACGTCGACGAAGACGAACATCCAGAGCACGCTTACCCCCTAAGCAATCAAGGCCACATCCCCTCCTTCCAGAACTTGGCGTTAGCCGACGAGACCCCCTGACCAGACACGAGAGGCAGGCGGGGGGAACCAGTCCGATAGTAGATTCCAGCGGCGGGCGGCCACGGCCCCAGAGAGCTCTCTCAGGTCCCGCCGCAAAAGCACGAGCACACAGATGGGAAGTGGTTAGCATAGCGGCATTCTGCATGCATTCACTGCTGGGGCACAGCCACGCACGATGTCCAGCAGACTCTTTGTAGTCAACACACCTAAGGAACTTCCTATTTGCAGCATAAAAAAGAGTCTCGAAGTCGGCATTCAGGCCAGCACGCACAAGACACAACAGATACCAGCATGGCGGCACGCTGGCAGCCATCGTCCTCAGGTAACCGCTCGTACAGCTTGCGGAAAGACGCGAAGCCCACGCCGCGCTCTATGCCCGCGGTGCAGGAGCGTTCGGCGGCCCTAGACCAGGCCAGCTCCGAACGCGCTCCCCGAACACGGAGGGGGAGACGACATCTGAAATCAGGGTCAGTCATCACCACCGACTTTTGCTCTGGAACCTGCCAGCAGCCGACGGCCCTCGGAACCCACCCAAGACCCAGGATGGTAGCACACACGGCCCCACTAGGGCCTTCGACCATTCTCCGACGGCGGGCAGCGGACTTACCTTCCAAAACGTCGCTCACTCGAGACCACGCTCGTCGGACTCCAACTGCCGCCCCAACGGGCAGCGAAACCCAAGCATCAGAGAGAATGCCGAGTCGCTCAGTCCGCGATCTGCACACAGGGTCGCCACCACAGTCACTGAGCGCCACCAAAACCGCGGCAGCACAAGACATCGAACTCCAGAAGCCCGAGCACCACGCAGCAGTGGCAGGCATCCTTGCGAGTTCACGACTGGGGGGGCATGAGACCGCATGGTCCCAGGAGCTGACCGAAAGCACGCCAGGCTTGTAAACTTTCCGAGATCGCCCACAGAGGGCGGCAAGGCATTTCAGCTTTCTGGACCTCCTGAAGACAATCGGCCTCCTCATCCTGAGCTTGACAGTCGCCACTCGCCACAGCGCCCGAGTCCTTCACGGACGCAACAAGGGGAAGATCAATGCCCAGCGCCTGAAATTGAGAGGGCAGGGCGCAATCCACATCCTTGCCGGATGCATCCCCAGCAGACTTGCCAGAGACAAAACAGCCCATATTCACAACATAATCGCCGAAAGCAGCAACAGCAGGAGGAATACTCTTTGCCGGGAAGACAGGGGCCCCATGGAGGAATTCTATAAGATCATCGACGCAAGACCTGACGGGGACGTTAGGAAGGCAGAAGTGGGCACTCTCCAAGACATAACACAGGTAGCACTTGACCCACGGCATGCTCTCAGCACACCCTGCCAAAAATGGATGCACCAGCCATTCGAACAGAAGCGAGTCTCCCATTCCACCTCTCTGGGCGGGGCATGGGTCAGCAAACCAAGGTCGAGGACGCAGGCGGGATAGTTGTTCGAAATGGCCGTGGGCATTGGCTTGCAATGGGGATACGGAGTCGAAAAACTTCCCCGTGCCCCAACTGGCGGACACGCCCGCCATGCCAGAAAAGAAACAAACCCATTGCAAACCGCACAGCGGACAATGGCTTTCAGGACGGAGTCCTGCACCGACTCCAGGTGCCCCCGATTCCAGGAATCGATGTCAAAACAACGAGCTTCACATTGAAACCGGTAAAGAACTGACATTTCGTTATGGAACTCTCCTCTTCAACGAACTTTCGAAACAGAGCCATGAGATGGAACAAATGCAGCGGCGGGATGCTCAAACCGGCCATCATCACAAAGATGCCGGTGAGCTGATCGAAAGCGAGGACAACCAAGGACAGCGTGAATCTAGGCGACCAAAGATCCACTCCCACGGCAGCTATCATCGAAACGAACAGACACACGAGAGATATCTTTCAGTTCGAGCGGCTCCACCTCAATCAATGGAACCTGCGCGAAAGGATGGACTAGGCCGGGATCGAAGCAGCGCCTGATTTGATTCTCGGGCGACCACCAGCTGCTCCGAAAGCGCTCACGGTGCGCCATCATGCTAACAGGGTCGTTCACAACGCCGTCATCGGCGGTAAAACACTCAACATGAACCTGCCCCTTAGTTTTACAGCAGCATGTATACGTTTAGCACCACGGGGGAAATCACCATGTAGAAAAATACGCACGCTCGAACGCGCACGATTGCGCGCCTGAGTCCACGCGCATGCACATACTTCAGGACCACGATCAGCCACGAGGCGGGCATCGCCGCGGCTGCAGGGCGAAACGGATAGAACACTTCACCACGCAGTCGCCTCATCAGGGTCCACCGGGGAGTCCACACGAGTACCACTAAGAGGAGCCAGAGCGGCGAAGACCTCGCGCTCCCCCCTGGTTGGGCTGCTGTGCGGGCCCTTCAGGAGCCTCCAATACTCGTGCAAGGCGGGTGGCCAACCACGGACCCAAAGGCGAGGGTAGGGCAGCGGAGGCTCTGAGCGAGATTGGGCCACGTTTCGCCACGGACGTGCCCCGTATCTGCAGCACGGCGCCCCGGCCATGACAGGCGAGGCTCTTAAACAGTTGCACGAGCACGAGATGACATCACCCGCTCGACCGCTCTCGACCACAGATGCACTTCTCACCCAACTCGGAAGGCTAGCGACCCAAAGTATGCTGAGGGATGGCGGTCCACGCGCCCTCGGGGCATTCGAGAGCACGCGGTGCGAGAAGGCGGCCAGCTGCGGCGACGCATGACAACCAGCAGTTGTCTGGACCATAGGTGCCGGAAAATTTCTGGAGCTACCTCCTCTGCCACAGGGGAAAAGACAGTCCCTGAAAGTCCAGGAAAACAGCCAAGCAGGCGTGCGCCTTGAAAGGGGAGGCGGCGTCAGCCGATAGAGTAACTCACTTTCACTACACATCACACAGTCGAGAATGGCATCACGCACATCATGAAGGAAAAAATATAATCGGTAACACGGGCACGGACACGCACAAGGTTAAGAGGTCCAGACTGTTCCCAACGAACATAAGCCATGCTGAAGTCCCCCATGAGAACCTAGGGGACCGAGAGAGCATTGACGAATTCGGCAAAAGCTCGAAGGGGCCAACGTTCTCCCCGGAGAAGCCAATGGAATCAATCAAGTGCACCACCCCCACAGCGATAGCACACGACCGAAGCCTGATCTCGAGGCAGAACCAACATTCCCCTGAGCCCACCTGGCATACTCTGCTGGCCTGGACCCCCCCCAGAAAACAACGAATGTACAACCCAAGTTCGACTGCAGCACAGACCCCTCCATGGGTTCCTCCACTGGTGGAGCCCAGTGCACTCTAAAAATCTGGCGACGAACACAGCTGCCTGCACAACTTCTTCGCACGGACGATGTAATCATCAACACGAAGGCGATGTTCGGACATGAGTACTCCGCCAACCTCGGCAACCTCAGTGGCAAGGGAATACTGGGCTAAGTTGGACCGACTGGCTATAGCTCAAAGCCTGACGTGCAAACGTGCACGTGGATCCGCCGGCCCAGCAGGGGCTGGGTCAGGGTCAAAGAGGCTCCTGGCTACTGGCACTGGCTGCAGCTCCAGAAGCTGTGGGCTGCGACGATACAAAAAAATACGGAACACATCATGTGACTGATCTTCGAAGCGGCGAGCACGCTTGGCAGACCTACCCTCGACGACACTCGTGAACAATTGCCGGCAGCGCTGGGCCTGGGTGGTGTCCGGTCCGGACTCGGCCGCCCGTGTCTTGAGCGTGGTGAGCTCCTCAAGCTCAGCTGGGTCTCCAGCTTAAGAAACGTCACTCGCTCCATCGTCAAGCTGGGCAGGGCCCCGGCGCTTCTGGCAGCGTGCACGGCTCTGGCGCCACTGCTCTATAGAGATCGTGATACTGGGTGCCAGTGACTCAAGCTGGGCGTCCAGCAGGGGGTGCCACTTGGCCTCGACCTTGCTGTAGTCGACGAGGGCATCGCTCGACACCACGGTTTCGACATTCCAGGACTGCGAACAGCATCACCAGGGGCAGGAACACGCGCACCACCTGCAGAGACGCCGTGAGCAGCCGGAGGAACGCCGCCGGGTTGGGCAGCTGCCGCCGCGGGCGCGGGCGGGGCCCGGGCGACAGGGCCCGCGGGCTGCGCCTGGGCTGCCGCCTGCGCCGCCTGCGCCGCAGCCTCAGCCAGCGCTGTCGCCTCCAACTTCTTGTTGGCGCTGTCCTGTTGCTTCTGGCTCTTGAACTCCCTGGCAACGAAATTCACCTTGGCATCATCGGCGGTAGGCTGGGCTGCTGCGGCATCGTGCAGCTCCGCAATCGCACCCGCGTGTGGCCCTTCACACTTGACCAGCAAGTCCCGAGTCTTGTTGAGTCTGTCAAACTTGCACTGCACATCTTGATAGGACTGCCTCTCGACCTAGGCCGCAGCTTCACACTGCTTTGCCAGGGTCGTCTGCTCTGCCGATACCCGACGGTCGAGCTCCATGGGCGCGACGTCCACGATAGCTGGATATGGCGGTGTTGCAGCAGCTGCTTACACGACGCCTGCGAAGGCTGGATACATCTCGGCTCACTTCTGGAGTTTCGCCACGAGCTCCGCAGGCACGGTGCATCCTGCTGCAGGCTGTTTCGCTGCTGGGGGGGAGTCACCAACAACAGCACTGCACGATGGGGACTGGCACTTGCTGCACTGCCGACGGCCCCATGTTGAAAAAACCCAGTGGCCACATGTTGAGCAGACTTCGCTTGAGGAGCCATGATGTCGTCTCTCGTCATATCCTTCCTTCTCCACTGCTGCTGCCACGATCCTCCTCTCCACGGCTGCGGTCTGGCGCCACGCCGTAGTTGGCACGCGGCTCTCGTGGTGTTGGCTGAGCACTCTTTGCGTCGCAGCGCGGCAGAGGCAGTCCGCACGCGCGTCCAAACGACCTGGGCTACGGCATTGGCGCGGAAACGTCTGCGCCGTGAACACGCAGATCGCACTCAGGGCGCAGGCGAACCGGCGCCTCCGCACGCCGCCTGCGCAGGCGGCGGTGCCAGGACGGGCTGCTCGCCCGCGCGCGCTCCGCCGCGCACCGCGGGCGCCTGGGGGCAGTGGCTGCGCGGGCCCACCGCGCGGGCAGAATGGCTGTGGCCACCCGCTGCCAGGCCACCTGGAGAGGAGGAGGAGGAGGAGGAGGAGGAGGAGGAGGAGGAGGCGAGGAGGAGGAGGAGGAGGCGGAGGAGGCGAGGAGGAGGAGGAGGCGGAGGAGGAGGAGGAGGCGAGGAGGAGGAGAGGGGGAGGAGAAGGAGGAGGAGGAGGAGGAGAGGAGAGGAGGAGGAGGAGGAGGAGGAGGAGGAGGAGGAGGCCCAGCGTCGGAATGAGTTCGTCAGCCACACCTACACCTGCTGCACCCTCAAACTTCTGGCGATCGAGCGCCACCCTCCCATAGGGGTGTCAGTCGCCATCTGTGCCGCTTTGGCAAAGTCTCGCGCCTGATCGGCGGACGGACACCAGCTCCCTCTATTCCTCCTTGCTTGGTGAAGGAGGCGGTGGAGGTGAAGGAGGAGGAGGAGGAGGAGGAGGAGGGGGAGGAGGGGGAGAAGGAGGAAGAGGAGGAGGACGAGGAGAGGAGGAGGAGGACGACCGAGGAGGAGGCGGAAGAGGAGAGAGGCGGAGGAGGAGGAGGCGGAGAGGGAAGGAAAAGAGGGAAGGAAGCAGGAGGAGCAGGAGAGGAGGAGGAGGAAGAGGAGGAAGGAGGAGGAGGAGGAGGAGGGAGAGGAGGAGGAGGAGAAGGGGGGAGGAGGGGGGGAGGAGGAGGAGGAGGAGGAGGAGGAGGAGGAGGAGGAGGAAGAGGAGGAGGAGGAGGAGGAGGAGGAGGAGGAGGCCGAGGAGGCCGGAGAGGGAGGATGAGGAGGCCGAGGAGGAGGAGGAGGAGAAGGAGGAGGAGGAGGTGAGCAGGAGGAGGAGGAGGGAGAGGGGGATGGAGAGGAGGAGGAGGGATGAGGAGGAGGGGAGGAGGAGGAGGGAGGAGGAGGAGGAGGAGGAGGAAGGGGAGGAGGAGGAGGAGGAGAGGGGAGGAGGAGGGGGAGGGAGGAGGAGGAGGAGGAGGAGGAGGAGGGAGGAGGAGGAAGGAGGATGAGATGGAGAGGAGAGAGGGGGGAGGAGGGAAGGAGGGAGGAGGAGGAGGAGGAGGATGAGGAGGAGGAGGAGGAGGAGGAGGAGGAGAAGGAGAAGGAGGAGGTTGAGGAGAAGAGGAGGGGAGTGAGGAGGAGGAGGAGGAGGAGGAGGAGGAGGAAAGTGGGTGGGCAGCGTGCTTGCCAAATCTGGCGGTCTGAGCCACAATGACTTGCGGGCCGCCCCGCGCTCTTGCGGCCACCACGCTGCCGCGAGGTGACGCCGAATTGAAGAGCGGGGGGCGGGGGGGGACTCTTGTGGGCGCGGCGAACCTCGGCAACGAGCAGGTCACCTGGCCTCGGATCGAAGGACCAGCCCGACAGCCAGCCCCTCCTTAACCCAGAGTGGCCCTTTGTCTCCGCGTCTTGGCTGCGCCCCCCTCACGCTCTTGCGCCAGATGACTTGCAGCCTGAGCCAGGGAGGCTTGCTCAGGACAGCCTCAGTCAGATGGAGTTGCAACCCCTCTCGTGTTCTTACCCCCAGATCTCCTCCGACGCTATGCACTCACAACCAGAACGTGAAGCCCCAGGGAAAAACTATGCCCCTTCCCCGAGACCGGCTGTTCGTTCCGAGCAGTTCTTTGACGGCCGCTGGGGCCCAGCGAGGCCCCCCAGAGGCCGAACATTGCCAAAGTCACAACGAAAGGATCTGGGGGCCACGACCGGCAAAAACACTTTTTGATCTGCGGGGCGAGAGCGAACCTCTTTCGCTAAAAGCTAGGCGGGCGACGCACAGCCGACCGGCAAAAACACGAACGGCGTAAACACAAAAATTCAGATGCCCGTGCAGAGTTCTTGGGTAGGCGCTGGGCCCCCCTCCCTGGCGCGCCAGCGCCGCTTGGCTGCCAGCGCTGGCTGCGCAGCCAGCAACTAGGGTGACGGCAGTGGACAAAGAACCCTTAGAGACCCGGGTCTGGAAGCCCGCTGAGCACCAATTAGAGCTTGGCCATGGTCAAGACGCCGCCATCATTAGATGGGGAATCCTCCAGGGTCTGAAGCCCCCTGGGCACATTCCTGAACGAACGCTGCCACCGTACTTCGCATTATGCGTCTGTCGACGCATGAGAGCACTCCCTGGCCTCCCCCCTCTCTCACCCTCCCTCCCCTTGGCCCATCCACTGGCCCTGGAGGAGGAGGAGGAGGAGGAGGAGGAGGAGGAGGAGGAGGAGGAAGAGGAAGAGGAGGATCGAGGATGGAGGAGGATCGAGGGCACCCGGCGCGTCGCCCCCGTTCCCATGGGGGGGCGGACGCGACGACGATCGAAGGCCCAGCGCCTTGAGTGCGTGTACTCCTGGTCCCAGCACTCCTCCGGAAGGGGGCGCAGAGACAACAATCACGATGACGATAACGATCACAACGATCATAACGATACCAACGATAAACGACAACGATAACGATAACGACGACAACGATAACAACGATAACGATCACGACGATAACGATCATCGATAAAGATAACGATCGTGATCTGAGGACCGAGACCTCTCCCTGGGCACAGGGACCGGGGACTGCCACGTGCGCACGGCAGGCGAGAGCGGGGAGGCGAGCAGATACCCCCATTTTGTTTGATGTTCTATTACCAAAAAAATCACAGCGGAAAGTGTGGACAAATTGTCGACCTTCGGGGGCCTTCGCGGGGCACCAGTACCGTCAAAAAACAGGCACACGCTGGGGCGAGAGGGAGAGAACTTCGAGGCAGACTGGAGGAGGAGCGGCGCGACAAGACTCTGAGGGCGTCCCAAATCCGCCGCCCCTTTGTGGGTCTCCAAGCATGTGAGATAGGTCCCCTCCTGAATCCCCCCCGCCTGGGGGACCCAAACTGCGGGCCGCTGAACATTTGCATGGGCACCCCGTGCAAATGGCCGACGAAACGGGCAAACCCCCAGTGAGCCCGGCCTGCACGTTCCGACGCCCTTTTGCGTGGGCGCCACATGCAAACGGCCAGTCGAACAGGCCAACCCCCCCAGTCAGGGATACCAGCGGCGCGCACACACTTGCATGGGCGCCCCATGCAAACAGCCGCCGAAACCGGCCCCCCTCCCCCGGGACGAACTCACCAAGAGTTCGCGCGCATCTGCAGGTGCGCCCCATGCAAACGGCCTCCGAAACCGTTTAAGAGGGGGGGTGGGGGCAGCGGGCTCAACGGGGGTTCGTGCCCAGTTGCATGGGCGCCCCATGCAAAGGACCGCCGAAACGGGCCAACCCACAAGGGGACTCGCCCGGGGTGGCCGAGCTCATCTGAGGCTCCCTTGAAGCTCCAACACGGCCTTTGAAATCTCCCAATGAGCCTAGACCGCCCGAAGATAGCCCCATGGAGACGCCCAAGAGGGCCCCAAGAGGACAAAATCATAAAAATCGGTCGGGTTGGCTCCATGACGGCCCAAGAGAGCCCAAACAGAGCACCAAGACAGAGTCGGCACGGCCAAAAGTAGCTAGCTCCAAGACGGTTGAAGATGGATTTCCGACGGCCCGCCGAAAGGGCCTCACGAGGCGAAAGTCCCACCGTTCCGTCGATGAGATGCACATGTTGAGCATACTCGTCCCGCTCGTCTTGGCAGCGTTCAAGACGGCCCAAGGGGCCTCCAAGCATCGTTCCACGATACCCCATGAGGTCCCCACGAGGGCCCCGAAACGTCCCCAAAGGCCCGAAGGCGGCCCCAGGGGCCTTCAAAACGGTCCAAGAGCACCGCACGAGGGCCCCAAGAGCTTCCCAGGAGGGGAAACACGAACTGGAAGTTCGAACCCTTCTCCTCAAGATGGCCCGAAATGCCCCGCGGAAGCTCCGAAGCGTCCTGGGAGAACCCCCGGAAAGGCCCCGAATGTAGGCTCCGAGATTGCTGATTGCTGCATGCAGCGCGGCCTCGGGGCGCTCTCAAGCAGCTGCGCCCCGCCGAGAGCGTTCTCGGCTCCTCCCGAGCGGCTACCGGAGCACCGGGCTGCGGCCCAGAAGCCCAGAAGCCCAGCAAGATGGGCCGCCGGTGCGCGGCCCGCCCATGGCTGCGGGCGGCGCGGCAGCAGCGGCCTGCGTGCCTCGGCCTGCACCCCCGCGGCGCCCCTCGCGGAGGCTGCGCACCAGGGGCCGCTCTGGCGGAGAGTCACTCTCGGATGCCCAGGCGGTCCGACGATGTGAGTTTTTCAGTCTGCGGCCACAGACCTCCTGACCACTTCCCCGGGGACAGCCTTTCGCCTTGGACCAATCCGCCACCGTGCACCCTGGCATGTTGAGGCGTGGAAGAATGCCAAGATCTGCCTGCTAGGGCTTTGCGATCTGAGAAGGGACCACCCCTCCCTCTACCCGCGGCGAGTCGCGTGCATCCCCCTACTCACCGAGGCCACTTCCCTTGTGCCCGCTCGAGGATGGTGCACTTCCAGCATGGCAGCTAGTGCCTAAACCCCCATTCCACGCGTGCCCGCTCGAGGATTGTACACTTCCCGCGTTGCAGCAACTGCCTGAACCCCCTTTCCACGTGTGCCCGCTCGAGGATGATGCACGTCCCGCATGACAGCTAATGCCCGAACCCTCATTTCACGCGCGCCCGCTCGAGAATTGTGCGCTTCCCGCATGGCTGCTAACTCCTAGGCCCCTCATCCCACGCGCACCCACTCGAGGATCGTGCACTGCCCGCATTCCCAGCCGCTGCTCCCAAGCGCTGCAGGGCCTCCCAAGCAACGATCCTTCTTTGCAAAGCGATGGATCTGCGTCCCGAGCTTCCAAGACGGCCCGTGCAGGCAACCCAATGCCAAGATGGCCCACGATGCCTCGAAGACGGCCCAAGATGATGGTCCCAAGACGGCCGGATGTTGATTCAAGACGGCCCAAGATGCCTCTAAGAGGGCCCCAAATCGTCACAAGAGGACCCCCAACAGGATCCGCACGAGCCAAAATCATTGATTCCCCTTTGATGTTTGAATAAGTTTCGCATTCACGCCTTTCGGGCTGCCATCAGCTCAAGACGACTCAACGATGGCAAAAGAAGCACTCAAAACTGCCCCGAGACGTCCCAAGAAGACATCCCTCAGGACCCAATACGGCCTTAGCAGGCCCTTCGACGGCCCAAGACGGCGCCAGGACGGCCCCACGACGGCCCCCAGACACCCACCATACGACCAAGAGGGCACCAAATCGTCACAAGAGGACCCCCAACAGGATCCGAAGAAGCCAAAATCATTGATTTCCCTCTGGTTTTTGACTAGGTTCCTTATTCTCGACGGCTCAAGACGGCCCAGGAGGACTCCACGATGGCCCAAGAGGCATCCAAGACGGCCCCATGAAGGCCAAGAAGATATCCCTCAGGACCCAAGACGGCCTTAGCAGGCCCTTCGACGGCCCAAGACGGCGCCAAGACGGCCCCACGACAGCCCCCAGACACCCACCATACGACCATCAGCATCAGCATCAGCATCAGCATGAGCATCAGCATCATCATCATCATCATCATCATCATCATCATCATCAGCAGCAGCAGCAGCAGCATCATCAGCATCATCATCATCATCATCATCATCATCATCATCATCATCAGCATCATCATCATCATCATCATCATCATCATCATCATCATCATTATCATCATCATCAGCAGCATCACCGGCATCATCATCATAATCATCATTATCACTATCATCAGCATCAGCATCAGCATCAGCATCAGCATCAGCAGCCTCATCATCATCGCCACCACAAACGTCACCATCATGGTCATCATCAGCAGCACCATTATAATTATCAACAGCAGCAGCATTACCATTGTCATCAGCATCATCATCATCCTCACCATGATCACCATCGTCAACACAACTCACATCATAATCAGCATCACCACCATCATCATCATCATCATCATCATCATCATCATCTTCATCATCATCATTGTCGTCGTCGCTGTCGGCATCATCGCCATCATCATCAGCAGCAGCAGCAGCCTCAACGGCATAATCCTCATACTTAACGGCATCATCGTCATCGTCCGCGTCGTCGTCATCATCGTCATCGTCCGCGTCGTCGTGATCATCCTCGCCATCATCACCACCACCACCATCATCGTCATCATCATCATCATCGTCATCATCGTCATCATCACCACTACAATCATCAATATCAGTGTCATCATCATTAGCAGCACCATCATCATCACCCTCATCATCATCGTCATCATCATCATCATCAGCAGCAGCAGCAGCATCATCATCATCATCATCATCACCATCGCAATCACTATCATCAGCAGCAGCATCATCATCAGCGTCGTCATCACCCCCATCATCTTCATAATCCTCACCATACTCATCATGACTCTTCCAAGCCTGTAGACACGAGGTGTCACACGTGACGGCCTCCCGTGCCCCCTCGACCAGTCGCCACCCAGACAGCTGGACTGGCACAATGGCTTGGACTTGCCGCAGGCAGCTGGCTACTTGATGCCCCCGGGCGCCCCGAAACGGGCCCCGTGGGCCGAAGCCGAAGAGAAAGCCAGGGATTGAAACAAACGTCTCGCAGGAGGTCTGAAAGCGTGTGCCCAAAAAGCTGGGGGGGGGGGGGGGCCTCCGCGCGCCCCGCACGGCGCGGCGCCCAAGAGCCATCCACGGGCCGCACAAGGGCCGCGCAGGGCGGGAGGAGGCCAGGCGAGCCGCGCCGCCAGCCCGGGAGCCACAGGGCAGCACAGGCACGAGCGTGCGCAGGCCTGCGGAGGTCCGCGCGGACGCGCGCGGGGAGAGGTGGCCCGGCGCCGACCCGAGAGAGATCCGCGCGGACCTCTGCACGTCTACACCTCTACATGATTTCGATGGCCCTTGGAGCTGCCGCTGGTCTGCCCATGCCCGCAAACGCTGGAGAGCCTGCGATGGAGGCAGCCTCTGGCCAGAGAGTGGCACCTACCACGACCGCCAAATAGACCCGAGCCGCGGATGAACACTGCCGGGGTCTGCATCGAGTGACGCAGCCAGGCGCAGCATCTGGCTCGGGATGCCACGCATACAGAGTAGGGCTGGAAAGACATGCTGGAGGAGAAACAATACGCGTACGCTCAAACAGACTGGCTAACTCGGAAATAAGGGGGGAAACATCGGAGGGCAAGAGGTACAGAGAATATATAGTCAAAACAGATACTATACTCATACGTGTAAACATATAACGATGTATGTACGTGTATATGCATATTCCCTGTAGAGGTCCTAGCGGATTCATATGGTTGGGTGAGGTGTGCCGCCGATTTCGGTGGCCGGGCCGGGCCCGGGTGCCTGGGTGCCCGGGTGCCTGGGGGTGCCTGGAGGCCCGGTAGCCCTATAGCCCTATAGGCCTATAGCCCTATAGCCCTATAGCCAAATAGCCCTGTAGCCCTATATCCCTATAGCCTTATAGCCCTATAGTCCGATAGCCTTATAGCCTAAATTACCCAATAGCCCTATAGCCCGATAGCCCTATAGTTATATAGCATGATAGCCTTGTAGCCCTACAGTCCTATAGCCCTATAGCCCTATAACCATAGAGCCCTCTAGCCCTATAGCCCTATAGCCCTATAGTCCTATAGCCCTATAGCCCTATAGCCCTACAGCACTAATAGCCCTATAGCCCTATAACCTTATAGCCCTATAGCCCTACAGCCCTATAGCCATATAGCCTGATACCCATATAGCCCTACAGCCCTGTAGCCCCATCGCCCTATAGATCTATAGCCATATCGACCAATAGCCCTATAGTCCTGTAGCCCTATAGCCAAAATAACCCTATAGCCCTGTAGCCCTCTAGCCCAATAGCGTTATAGCACTATAGCCCTATAGCCCGATAGCCCTATAGCCCAATAGCCCTATGGCCCTACCAAAAATTATGATTGGGGTCTTTCTCTGGTATCATGTATGTATATACACACAAATCTGCGCTTACACGTACGACTGTGATTCCCCAATCAGAGCTTGCCTCACTAGGGGTCCTAGCGGATTCACATGGTCAGGTGAGGTTCGTCGCCGCTTTCGGTGGCCGGTCCGGGTGCCCACGTGCCCCGTGGTGCCCAGGTGCCCGGGGGTGCCTGGGGGTGCCCGGGTGCACGGGTGCCCGGTAGCCCTATAGCCTTGTAGCCCTATAGCCTTATAGCCTTACAGCCTTATACCCCTTTTGCGCTAGAGCCCTGTTGCCCTATAGCCCTAATAGCCTTATAGCCCTATAGCCATAAAGCCCTACAGCCCTATAGCCCCATGGCCCTATAGCCTTATCCTTATAGCGCTGTAGCCCTATAGCCCCATAGCCCTATGGCCCTATCGCCCTATAGCCCTATAGCCCTATAGCCCCATAGCCCTCATAGCCCTATAGCCTTATAGCCCTGTAGCCCTACAGCCCTATAGGCCTATAGCCCTATGGCCCTATAGCCTTATAGCCTTATAGCCCTATAGCCCTATAGCCCTAAGCCCTATAGCCCTATAGCCCTATAGCCCTATGGCCTACAGCTCTATAGCCCTATAGCCATGTAGCCATATAGCACTATAGCCCCATGGCCCTATAGCCCTACAAAAAAATGATTGGGGCTTCTCTTCGGAATCATGGGGAAAGAGAGAGAATGAGAAGGAAGCACAACATCAAAAAAACTATGTGCATACAAGACTTTAGATAAATCGTAAAACCACATACGTAAACGAAACATGCTGTCCGCGAGCGGCAGGTTCGGTCCAAGACGCGGTCAGAACAACGGAGGGACGTCCGTGGCAAATGGGGGGCACGGGGGGCAGGCGAGGCTGGAGGTGGTAGAAGGGCGCCGCGGGCGGCGGAGCACGCTCAAACCGGAAAGACCATGAACGTCCGCGCCCGAGGACAGGCTTCCGGGCCCCCAACCAGGCAGCGGCGAAGGCACACCAGGGACGAAGCAAAACAGAGCAGACAAACTTTTGGTCGGCGGCCGCGGAGGGAACTACGATGCGCTCGCAGGACCCTTACGAGCACGCCCGCATATTGCACAGGGGTGCAGTGGAGAGCTGGTTCGGTGTACTTGGACATTTGGGAAGCCTCTGGCGGGAGAGGTTTCTGATAGCAGACAATGGCTACGCAATCTATGTAGACTTTTGGCGGCGCAGCGGCCGCGAAGAGCCAGGCAGCGCGCGAGCGACGGCGGGCTGCAGCCGAGGCGCATTGGGGACACCGGGGGGCAGGGCGGAGGCGCGCGGTTGCGCGGGGGGGGGGCCAGAGAGGAGGGCTCGAAAGGAGGAGGAGGAGGAGGAGGAGGAGGAGGAGGAGCCACGCTCAGGCCGCACAAATCTCGCGGGAGTGCCGAGGCGCAAATCTCGCGGGCGCGGAGGGGAAGAAAACGGTGACCATGACAAAAACTGGACGCGGAAACGTCGCGTCGATCTTGGTCACCATCGATCTTGACCAACGTCACCTCACGCATCAACCTCGCGACTCCGCGACGGCCGACATAGACCATGACCACGATCAGCATCGACAAGATCCCGCGACATCTTGGCCATGGCCCCCGATTTTCCCCCCTGTAGGGCGCGCCAAGCCAAGCAAACGAGCAAGCAAAGGAAACGAACGAACGAGGCCCCGTCGACCGAAGCACCGAGCGGCTCCAGGTTCCCCTGCGACCCGAAGCGGCCGGCGCAGCACGTCTGCCAGCTGAAGCCCTGGCGCGGCATTGGCGGGAGATCGCGGACTCTCCCCCCCTCCCCCTCCTCTTCCACCTCCTCGTCCTCGTCCTCGTCCTCGTCCTCCTCCTCCTCCTCCTCCTCCTCCTCCTCCTCCTCCCCTCCTCCTCCTCCTCCTCCTCTTCCACCTCCTCGTCCTCGTCCCGTCCTCGTCCTCCTCCTCCTCCTTCTCCTCCTCCCTCCTCCTCCTCCTCCTCACTACGTCCCGCCCTCCCTCCCTCCCTCCCTCCCACCGTCACCCCTCCCTCCCCCAACCCCGCCGCCCTCCCTCCCTCCCCCCCCTCCCTCCCTCCTCATCCTCGCTCCTCCTCCTCATCCTCCTCCTCCTCCTCCTCCTCCTCATCCTCCTGCTCCTCGTCCTCCTCCTCCTCCTCCTCCTTCTCCTCCTTTTCTTGATATTATTCTTCTTATTGGCATTATTATTAGTATTAGTATCCTCCTTATCTTCCTTTTCTTCCTTTTCCTCATATTAGTCGTATTGTCATTGGCAGTGTTATGGTTATCAGTATTACTACCATTATTGCTACTATTATTATGAATGTCAGTCTTAATATTATTAATAGTAGTTGTATTAGTAGTGGTACTCGTATTTTCATTCATACTTATAGTATTAGTGTTAAAATTAGCACTATTAATACTGTTATTATTATTGTAGATAGTTTTAGTATTACGATTCTGAATGATAATATTAGCAGCAGAGTAGTAGTAGTAGTAGTAGTAGTAGTAGCAGCAGCAGTAGTAGTAGTAGTAGTAGTAGTAGTAGTAGTAGTAGTAGTAGTAGTAGTAGTAGTTTAATGTGTTTGACTATTATTGATACTACTAGTATTAGTGTTTGTACTATTACTCCTCCTATTACTAGCACTGTATTATCATTACTGTTGTTAATCGTATTACTATCATTCTGAATTTTAGTCGTATTAGTAATAGTATTGGTATTATTCGCATGATCGTTACTGTTAGTATTCTTAATACGATTAGTATCATTAATATTATTATCATGAGTACTATAATCAATATTATCACTAGGAATAGTATTACGGTTCTTCTTATTGGTACTATGATTATTCTTGTTAGCATATGATTACTATCCGTATTCTTCATATTTTGATAATTACCACTGTTGTTTCCCAACCAGAACTTGCCTGTGTAGGGGTCCTAACGGATGCATATGGTTCAGCGAGGTTCGTCGCCGACTTCGGCGGCCAGCCCGAGTCCTGGGATGCCCACGGGTGCCCGGCGGTGTCCGGGGGCGCCAAGGGGCCCGGGTATCCGGTAGCCCCATAGCCCTATAGCCCTGTAGCCTTATAGCACAAGAGCCCTATAGCCCCGTAGCACTAGAGCCCTATAGCCCTGTTGCCCTAATAGCCCTATTGCCCTGTAGCCCTATAGCCCAAGTAGCCCTATAGCGCCATGGCCCTAGCCTTCAAGCCGTATAACCTTCCGGCCCTACAGCCCTATTCCCCGAAAGCCCTATAGTCCTACACCCCTATAACCCTGACAGCCCTATAGCCCTATAGCCCTAAAGCCCTATAGCCCTGTAGCCCTATAGCCCTGTAGCCCTATAGCCCTATAGCCCTATAGCCCTATAGCCCTGTAGCCCTGTAGCGATAGGGCATCTAGCCCTGACAGCCCTATAGCCCTATAGCCCCACAGCCCTGTAACCCTATAGCCCCAGAGCCTTATAGCCCTATAGCCAGAGAACACTATAGCCCTATAACTCCGTAGCCCTATATCCGTTTTTGATATATATATATATGTATATATATATATATGGTTGGGGCGTTCTCCGCTAGCATTATTCGTCTTCATAGTAACAATAGTGTTATCCGCATTCATATAATTACTACTAACTCCACCTCCTTGTCATCCTCGACCTCCTCGTCCTCCTTGTCCTCCTCCTCCTTATCAGCATCATCATCAGCAGCATCATCATCACCATCAGCAGCATCATCATCACCAACAACATCATCAACATCATCATCATCACCATCAGCAGCATCATCATCATCGTCATCATCATCATCGTCATCCTCATCCTCATTTTCATCATCCGCCTCCTCCTCCTCCTCCTCCTCCTCCTCCTCCTCCTCCTCTCCCTCCTCCTCCTCCTCCTCCAGGTTTCCAGGTTTCCCCATGTTGGGTGTCCTCGCGCGAGCCGCGGACCCTCGCCCCGTGCCTAGAAGGGCACGGCTCCTGCACGCCGCGCAGCTCAGTCACTTAGGACAGCGACCTCACCTGCTGGCCAGGAAGGAAGCCCCTGTGGCTTCTGGCCTGACAAAAAACCATGGACGACATTGCGTCCTGTCATGATCGGGGGCCCGCACTCTACAGCTTCTGATCCTGCTCCTCCTCCTCCTCCTCCTCCTCCTCCTCTCCCCCCTCTTCCTCCTCCCCATCCTCCTCCTCCTCCTCCTCCTCCTCCTCTTCCTCCTCCTCCTCCTCCTCCTCCTCTTCCTTCTCCTCCTCTTCTTCTTCTCCTTCTTATTAGTATTCTTCTTATCATTACTAGTATTATGATTATTGTTGGTCTTCTTATTGTTCTTTTTAATAGTAGTATTGGTCTTAATGGTATGTTGATTATTCTGAATAGTATTCTTAATATTAGTAGTGTTATTCTGAGTATTATTAGTATTATTTGTTGTAATATGATTATTATTGGTATTATAATGATTATTATTATGCGTATTATTAACTATATGAGTGTTAGTATCAGCATGATTATTCTTCTTAGTATTACTATTATTCTTAGTTGTCGTATTCAAGTTCTTATTATTATGAGTATTATTCGTCTTAATAATAATATTGTTCGTCTTATTAGTCTTATTCTTATTGTTATGATTAACATTGTTGTTCGTAATAGTATTCTTAGTATTGTTATGAAAATTAGTATTATTATTTCTACTAGTATTCGTCTTATTATTCTTCTTCGTATTATCATTATTCGTCTGATTCTTATTATTTGTATTATTCTCCTTAGTCGCATTCTTATTATGTATATTATTATTCCTCCTCCTCCTCCTCCTCCTCTTCCTCCTCCTCCTACTCCTCATCCTCCTCCTCCACCTTGTCCTTATCCTCTTCTTCTTAGTGTTAGTTTAATTCCTCCTAGTATTAGTGCTATTGGCAGTATGATTATTATTCGTGATAATAATAATCAGTAATTAGAATAATAATACAAAATAATAATAGTAGTGATAGTACTATTAATAATCCTATTATTACTACTATGAGTATAATGATTAGTACTGTTAATATTACTGATAGAACCATTATTCGTATTAGTATTATAGATACGATTATTACTTATATTCGTACTGTTGGTATCATCGTTACTAGCATTCATATGTTCGTAATATTCTTGTTATTCTTCATATTAGTATCCCAAATATTCTTCTTACTCTGATGATGATTATTACTCTTATTCCCCTATCAGAGCTTGCCTGTGTAGGGGGCCTAGCGGATGCATATGGTTAGGCGAGGTTCGTCGCCGACTTCGGCGGCCGGCCGGGGTGCCGGGATGCCTGGGGGTGCCCGGCGGTGCCCGGGGGCGCCCAGGGGCGCGGGTATCCAGTAGCCCTATAGCCCTATAGCCCTATTGCCGTATAGCCCAATGGCCCTATAGCCCTAGAGCCCTAAAGCCCTATAGCCTTATAACCCTAATAACCTTATTGCCCTATAGCGATAGGGCTAGGGCACTTGCGCGCGGGTTCACCTTCCTTTTGAATCCGCCTTCTGCTGCCTTCCTTGCGCATGTAGTGTTTACTGTATAGCGGGCGGCGGACTCACGCTTCGTCTCCTCCCCCCCGACTCTAAAGGGAGCTGGGGCAAAGGCGAGAGATAGCGAGCGTTTGTCCGCGGCCGTTTGTGTCCAAGCGGCCGGCCGCCAAGATATGACTTCGCCTCATCGCGAGGCACACTACCTGCTATCGAGACCGGAAACATATTCGCTTGAGATGACCCGTCGCTCCCGCGACGATCTCCTACTTCTGGGACTATCGTTACTACGGTACAACCAGAGTTGGATATGGGCTTCGCCTTAGGCGAAGCTGCTGGCTAGGCCTCCCAACCCCTTTCAAACTTGAATTTCGTCGGGTACAGTGGCCCCACCGTGGCCCCACCGTGTGCCTCGGCGCTTCCGCGTCGCAGGATGCAGCTTTGAACGCCCTCGCCAACGTCGCCGGCGTGCCGACGCCGTTTGAACCTACAGTAGACCAGCATTGCATACTGAGTCACTTTTGGACGGCCCCTGGGCCCAGCGAGGGCCCCCAGAGCCCGAAACAAAAACTGATGTTGTCACGACGCCAGGCGGTCTGGGAGTAAGTGGCAGGGCCCAGCCAGCGGGAGTCGGCGGGCCCGGACAAGACGAGGCGAGGCTGCATGAGCCGCCTTTTGCACTCAGCGCCGCGCGCCGCGGTGGCGGCCGGCCGGAACGCGACGCCCGTTGCGATCCGAGCTGGACTCGGATGACCAGCAGAGTCGCGTCCAGCAAACTCCCTGTCAGTCCTCGCCCATGTTCGGCAACCGGGGGCCCTCGCCTGGCCCTGGGACCGTCAAACTACCCTAGCGCAACACCCTAATAGCAGCAGAGGAACTGTGGGACCTGTGTGGTCTCTGGGAACTGTAAGACCTATGTGGCCTGCGGCCTGTGAGGCAAGTGGGTACTGTGGACTTGCGCGAACTGGGGTCCATGTGGTACCTGCAAAACCTGTGGGGCCCGTGTGATCTGGCGGACGTGTGCAACCTCTTGGCCCTGTAGGGCCTGTGGGGCCTGTGGGCCCCGTGGGATCGGTGGGACCTGTGGGGCCTGTGGAACCTGTGAAACTTGCGGTATTTCCGCGACCTGTGAGACCTGTGCGGACTGTAAGACCTGCGGGACCTGTGGGGCCCGTGGGACCGATGGAACCTGTGGGACCAGGGGCACATGTGGGGCCTGCGGGGCTTGTGGGGTTTGTTGGACCTGTGCGGCCTGTGGGACTTGT